ACTTTGAGAGGACGCTCCCTCCAGACGTGAAACAAGGAAAAGACGCAATTGCAGAATGGCTTGCCAAGGGCCATACGGGCGACGAGGAGTCATCATCAAGAGGAACTCACGAAGTTGCTATTGGGCTATCGAATGGTTCGTCGCGTTCCTTGGTCGGCATGAACCTGCTCTTGAGAAACGTGATGCCATTACACTGGGTGGAAGGTGATGGGCCTCAACAACGGCTTGTTTGCATAAATAAGTTACTTGGCGAAGGTGGGGCAGCCATAGTGGTGGAAGCTGAGGACATGGCTACCCACGAGGTGTTTGCGATGCGCATTACCCGGGTGCATGTAAAAGTTGGACGGAATTTTGACAACGATGAGGATTTTTTGCTGACCGTACAGAGGGAGCTTGTCTGGGGGGAGGAGCTAGCGAGGATATTATGCGCCACCACTCTAGCAAGTGAGGTGGCCTCAAAGAAGGGCATCGCGGTTCCCCTGTACTCCGCCGATGTTGCTGGAGCTCCCCGCGGCACGCGTTCCGGTGAATACATTGTCATGGGACGCGTACAGGTAATGGAGAGGTTATATGGTTGTGTTATTGACCTTTTCAAATATGAAGGCCTCGTAAATAGAGCACGGGAGTACATAGCTCGCCGTCTAGCACTAATTGTTCTCAAAATTCAACAGGCAGGAGTCAGCCACAACGACCTAAAGTGGAACAACCTGTTGATGCGTTCAGACGGCTCATTCCTTGTCGCCGATCTGCAGTCCGTCCTCCCGTTTGGAAGGCCATATGGAACAATGACAACCTTCACCCCAGAATATCGAGAGCCTCAACTAGCCTTTCGGCCAAGATCCAAAGCTTACGAGAGCGGGTTCATTATCCCGCATGCCAGCAGCGACTTGTGGTCCCTCGGGATCCTCCTGTACGAACTGTTCACAATGCGGCAATATCCGTATGGTAAGGAGAATGCGGAAGACAGGCATGAGCAAGCGATGCTGCAAGCATCACGACTTTTTGAGAACAAGACAAGGTCAGCTGCCCTTGAACCCGATCTAGAGGCTGCAGAAGTACCACCTAGGTGGAAGGAACTTATTCTAAGATTGCTGGAGCCAAGTAGGGGGCATAGAATAACAGCCTGGGGGATCATTGAAGAGTTTCCTGACCTCGTACACAATCCAGAATAGGCTCTCTGTTCTGGTTTTTGCCATTGTGCTGATATGCGCGAGTGGGGCACCCAACTGCTTGGTTCCTGGATGGAGACTACTACTTGAGCTTTCATTTATTTCAATAAATAAAGTGGCGCGGGCATAAGCGACTAGCTTTATTTATTTAGTGGCCACCGTTTAAACACGCACCCGCAGACCAAGGCCAGAAAACGCTGTTTGGAAGATGATTTTTTGTGGCTTTTCGTTTTCTTGTTGCCTGCACTCCAGAGCACTAGGTAGGAGCGTTTCGCAGCCTCCTGATGGTGGGAAGAGAAACAGTGGAATGGAGATACGCAGCCGCAGTGGAGAACCGAGCGCATCGCGTGTGGTTTGCCCCACTGCCTACCAATTCATTTATGCGATCCGCGTCGTGGGGACATGTTGAGTGCTGTAGTGTGATTTCCATTCAACATTGTCTGAGCATTTGCTCTTCCAATGTATTACATGGCGTTCCGTCTTTGACGTAGTGAGGATCCAGGCACAAACTTGTCTTGTCTCGTTGTTGCCCGTATTTTCGAAGATTGCCCTTTGCTACGCTTAGTAGCAAGATATTTGACAGCCTCGCAAATGGTGAAACCGTGACAAGCGCTCTCAATTTATGGAGGGGAGGAGGGGTTCCAAATTTGCGTACCATCAGGAGCATCGTTTTCTCATGCTTAGGTGTGGTGAGAGTGTGTGCCACACCCGTGCTGCTCTGGGCAGATTTCGTGCAGAATACCTGACGTTCTGACGTACAAAGAGTATTACAGGCAGAGCTGTACCTCTTCGAATCGACATAACACGGCGAGTACCTCCTCCGATTTGTTCTGTCAGTGGAAATTCCCGCGCTAATAGTGGCAAGATGCCTTCCCAAGGCATTATGCTATGTTACTCGTTTTGCCATATGCTTGCAGTGTCGGGGGTAACGATGGTCCCCCTACACGGCACTGCTTGCGGTGAACTGGTGCGGAGAGTCACTTTTCGCATTTTAAGTGGCCAGTGAACTACCAGCGCTTTTTTCCTGCACCAACTGGTGTCCCCGTGTTGAAACTCTACAGGAATGCATAGTTTGGATTTTCCACCCCCGCAATTCACACCAGGTCTACCGTCACGTAGTTCAACGCGTAAACCTTCACATGCCACAGATAAAATAACAATTTTCTCCCTTCGTCCATGCCTGCACGATATGCGCGCTTTACTGTCCTGTAGTCCCTGAGACATAACTTTGTTCTTGCACTTCGTGCAAGCGCCCTTTTCTTTGTGGGCGAGCATACACTTTCAGACACTAGCAGCAAGGCCGCACCGTAGATTGATGCAACTCAAGTGAGCTACTAAGCGCTCTGTAGCGGGCTGTTCTCAGTGCCTCTCCCATTCGTGAATGCGCATACGGACACGCAAGCTAGACAGATAGCCTCGAGCTCTTCGGTCGTGCACGTCAGCATGTTAGCGGCGCATGTTTTCTTGTGTAGGTAGCACATGTCATGTTGCTTAACGATTTAATGACACGCCAAGGCATCCCCCGCAGAGCTGCAGCTGCAAGTTGAGTGGACATTAGAATGCTCTTCCTGTGCTTTTTTCTGGGGGCCTTGCTTCATTCTTGCGATCTGTTGGCGGTAGCAAAAGTGGTAATT